TAACACTCATCTCTGATATTATTATCTCATCCATGGTCAGGCCGTTGACCAATGACGTCAAAAGTGAACCTCTGTAAGCTCCCAAAATGTCGCGACGTCGTAACACCCTTCGTGCCAGGGGACCTTTCACTGGGTAATGAAGCTTATATGATCTACATAGTACTACCTCCTAGAGGCCTCACAACTTGTGTGTAATTATCTCGTATTTTTCTTAAGCGTCACCTGAAGTCAGGTCGGTCACGCAACCTCACGATTATTAATCAATTGGGAAATATGAAAGCTGTTATATTGGCGCCGGGAGCCGTCTAAAGCTGTCTCAAGCGCATTAATTCGCAATTTTATAAATCTTTGCAAGCCCTAGCGCGCGGCCAGCATTCACTTTTCCATTCTTAATTTAGGCGACTTCATTTATGACGTCACTAAGGTCACAGGAGTTTTCACCAAAAAGTCCCGATCAAATTGAGCTAGCGAGTCGGGAAGCCACCAGTGGACTTGTGAGGACCTACCGAATCTAAGAAGCGATATGACCTCCTTGGGCCAGCTTCGTGGCCTGAGTGGCTCTGCCCTGACCATGACCTGATGTGAACACCTTAAATTGACCTCAACAAAAACAAAGCGTATACTATTCGACGCGCTTGAGCATGCAAAACTCGATGGTGCCATTATCCTGGCTCTGTAATCACTTATGGTGGTTGTTTACCAAAAACCGATCCCGCGATTTGGAGCACTTATACTGACCTCAGAGTTTATCGGTTGACCTGAGACATTCAACTCGGGTACCAGTTGCTGCATCTCATACGACGCACGCGCTCAGTTTTATCTGCAAGGCGCTAGCTCAATTAGGGGCAAAAAGACGGAGAGGGGTCATAATCGCCCCCCCCCCTCGGCCGGGGTATATGCAGAAAACCCAAAATTCCGTTGAGGGTTAAGCACTGAAGTGATATATTATGATGCGAGAAGGTATAGGTCAAAACGAGTATGCACACGAGCGGGTGTGAATAAAACTGTGTTTGGGGTATGCCTTTTTTTTACTATACATTCGATTTGCTTTAGTTATTGGTAAGAACAGATACAACCAAGAAGAGCGCCCCTGAAGAAAAGGTGGCGCACCGGACAGGTGCGGTTTTAAGGTCTAAGGTCAGTCGGGGACCTCTAAGTTCGGATCAAGCGCTACATGTTAGGGGTAAAAAAATGGGAACAAAAAAGCATCCCGATTTTGGCAGCATCGTCATGCTTTGTCACGGCACTCATCCACTCCCTCGGCCGAAATATTATTTCCTTTTTGTATGAGTTCTGGCATAATCCCGCCCATTATGCTGCATGTTGTTTGCCATGAAAAAAAAAAAAACAATGTATGCTCAGCTACGTTCTACGCAGTACGCACTAACCTAACCACCATCCAATCATCCACCACTAGCCACCATCCCGTTCTGTGCTCCCTTCCACCCCACACGAATCAGCCGAGCTACTAGTCAGTCGGGCTAGCGCTATCCTATCCTCCCTTCCCGACTGCACAGCGCTAAAACCCAGAGCCGCGACTTCCCGAGCGCGACCTCTGGGCTCTGACCCCACGCGGTCCGATGGGTCGGCCGATGCCTAAGGGCGCGCCGCGCGCCGGCCACCCGGATAGCCTCTGCCGAGTCTCCCTTTCATACACCGTTTACTACGCGCTCGATTCATTCATGATTCTGTGTTTCCGCGTTCCTGTCGTTAGATGGCTCTACTGATGTCATAGGCGATCCCAGGAAGATTGCGGCCAGAATACCCCAAACGGCAGAAAATGAGGTTTTTGGTGGATATCTCGGAAAGTATTTGGCATACAACGATGCAATTTCACAGTCTCGTGGTAAATGTGCATACACATAATTCGGGTTGAGACTTATGCATTTGAACATTATATAGGACCAGATATGTCCGAAAAAGCAAAACCAACAAGACTTTTACTGGAGAACCGTACCAGCGGCCTAGCAAGGGCACCAGAGGTCTGCCAGGGGCACCAGCGGCCTAGCAAGGGCACCAGAGGCCTGCCAGGGGCACCACAGGCCTAACAAGGGCACCACGGGCCTGTCAGGGGCACCTCAGGCTTGTCAGGGCCCAGGGACACCACAGTCCTTCCAAGGGCACCGCAAGCCTGTCAGGGGCACCAGAGGCCTGCCAGGGGCACCACAGGCCTAGCAAGGGCACCACTGGCCTGTCAGGGGCACCTCAGGCTTGTCAGGGCCCAGGGGCACCACAGTCCTTCCAGGGGCATTACAAGCCTATCAGGGGCACCAGAGGCCTAGCAAGGGCACCACAGGCCTGCCATGGACACCACAGGCCTGCCAGGGGCACCACCGGCCTTGCAGGGGCGCCTCAGGCCTGTCAGGGGCACCACGTGCCTGCCGGGGACACTTCAGGCTTGTCAGGGGCGTTACAGTCCTGTCAGGGCCCAGGGGCACCAGGCCCGTGGTGTCCCTGCTAGGCCTTTGGTGCCCCTGGCGGTCCTGTGGTGCCCCTGTCAGGACTGTGATACCCCTGATAGGCCGGTGGTGCCCCTGGCAGGTCTTTGGGCCCCCGGGCCTCAAGGGGGGGGGCCATGACCCATGTGACCCCCCCCCCCCCCTTGGATCCGCCCCTGGGACAAATACAGGTATTCTGCTTCGTTTTGGTACATATGCATCCCGAAATAGAATCTCCATACCACCGTGACCGAGTGGAATATAAGAACGGTCAGAACGCTTGGTTGAACAGCCTTGAGCCTGGAGACGACAACAGACGACCAGGTGCTGCAGGTGTCAGCCAGGTCTTTGAGACAGCCACCAACTTACAGTTGAACCAGGTCATCTCATGACAAAGTCTGCCACTTTTGGCTTCGGTAACTGAGTGTCGATACCGTACACTTTGATTTGATTGCTGGACCGCCCGACTCGGCCCAGTCCCGACGGTGCCTCCTGGGGCCGGCATTTATGGAAGCGTCTGCCTCGACGTGTCTTCTCCCAACACCTCTGTCCTCCACCAGCGGACCGCCGTCCTCTATCAGCGGGCGGCCGTCCTGTCCGGGGCGGTGTTTCACGGGACGCTGCTACCACGCTGCTATCAAATTGCGCGAGCTGACGTCACACTTGTGGTAGTGTTGGAGCCTGTTGATGTTTCCATGGAAACCCAATTTGACACGTGTAAAAGCAGCGTGCTGCTATCACCGGTGAAACAGGGCCCGGTCATGTGCTGTTTGCCCCTGTGACGTCCAGACCCTTCCGCCAACCGACCAGTCCCGTCACAGGGGTCCAATCTACGAAGTACCGCACTATTCTATTCTTGGCATCTGGTAACATGAACCATGATACTGGTTCTGGCGAAAGCGTATCCGAGTAACGAAACCATTCCAGAGACCGTCAGTAGGTATATGATGGAATGAAATGCGTCAGGACCATTGCCAAATCCTTTCTCTGGCATTGGGCCATGGTGCCATACGCCGTGCCCCCGTGCACAGTGGGGAGGCACGCCCCCCGCTCGCGAGCCAATGGGCGTGTCTGGAAAAGTGACGTCATACATGAGGTGACGGCGCGGTCACCGCCCACCGCGCCGGGGTCATACGACAGGGAAGCCACGCGATATTGAGGAGCCCGGGCGGCGTCTGGGGCACGGGCCGAGAGTGCAGAAGTGACCGGCGGGCGACGGTATCAAGTGACGGGGACGGCTCGTTGCATGGTGACAGAGTATGCGGTAGTTTGATGAATGCAATGAACATAGCAAGCCGATCATGGCTAGAGTCTGGCCGTAGCAGTCGGCATCGTTGATATTTACACCCACGCGCCAAGTCGGCAGCGGGCGGGTCGGCCGGTCGCATTGAGCAGGCCGTTGGTAAATGCGGTGCAACATAACATAACTCAGGAAGATTTAGGTCGGATTCGATGTCACCCAAACGACGAAGATGCTACATCGTCCGGCCAATGACGTTCTATGTCGGGGGTGGGGGGGGGGGAGGGGTTGGGCTGCGGTCACCGAACGCCACGCCTTTGGCCGGACGACGTAGAATCTTCGTCGTCTGGGAGACATCGAATGAGGCCTTAGGCTTACTCAGTCACGCGCTTGTTCTGCCCTGTCGCTCACAGAGCTCGCCCACGCACTGCACTACACAATGGGGCATGAGGGAGTCGCGATGAGAGAGATCCATGTGAGGGCGGCGAGTCCGCACACGGCGACGCACATATCCGGCTGATAACTTGGGTCTGGTAAAATCGTGTGAATTCGGGCGCTAAAGCAATGAAATCACGTAGCTCTAGCCATCAAGCATGTATGCATCAAGGCTATTGCAACTTACAAGCGTGTTTACTGCACCACAGACCTAGTCTCTTTATTATGTAGAAAGAAGTACGTGATTAAACGCATAGGTTCAAGTTTTCGTGCGCATAGGAAGGCGTTTGGATGACGAATTCACACCACCATTCGCCTTCCGATGTAGGAATTCTGGGGCACTGTAGGCCATATTCCAGTGAACGTGAAACGTCCGTCCTAGGAAAAGCGTCACATGGCGTCACATAGCGTCACATCCGGAAGTTCTGAGCAGAGACATGTCGTCAGCAATCAGGATAAACACCCTAAAGTACGGCAACCGTAAATGATCACTCGCAAACAGAGATGGACAGGACAGTACAGGTGAATCTAGATTTGAGTCCGGACCGTTGGTGTCAGAGTGAGCACAGTGTCACTATTCTGAGATCAGCGCAGTGTTCAGTGGGATAGGAGTGAGCTCGCTGGGTACAACCCGTGCAAACTGCATGGCAACCATCAAGTATCCGCCGCTATGGAGATCGGATGGCAGCTCATGATCGGCATTGTTAAATTGTCAGCTGCTGCCAGGCTACGGTTACTGGTTAGCAACACTAGGTCCTGAGTTCAAATGAATACGTCACACGACGACCGTCGACGAACGACCTTACAGCGTGACTATTTGCTTTATTCGTATTATATTACGCCGACGAGGGGTGCGACAGTCCGCCGCCCCGTCGATCCCGACTGACCTGGGCGCGTATATCCGCCAGTGTTTCTTTCCCTCCAGCTGCAGCATAAAGGCCTCGATGTCGTCGTAGTGTGGCGCAAACCCCTGCGTGCCGGGCGGCGTCAGGTACCTGTTGGACAATTAGGGCGCCACGTCAGTCTCATCACACCACACGTGATACGGAAAACAATATAAACATTGATGGGTAATGACACACGAAATTCGACTGCGAAGACAGGAGCAATAAAACCGATGTTTGCATCAACATACGATCATTTACATTTTTAGACGTGAGCGGATGCTAAAGAATTACACCATATCTAACGATGCAAATAATAACAACAGAAAGTTACATTCGACGCTTAAAAACAACAGTCCTATGGACAGTGGACAACCAACCCTCAAGTCAGCATATATTTCTGTCCCTACTTCTTCCTTGCCACGGAACGCATCCCCGATGCACCTTTTATCCATACTAGAACTAACATAAGCCGCAACTATTTCTCTTACCTCCAGCCCTTGTCTCTACCCAAAAGGTGAAAAGGGTTCCCGAATACGATTTTCCCTAATACCAGCCCCGTTCTCTTCTCTCCACACCAAACTAGCACACCGGCTAAGACCATTCCCCGCTCTCCCTTCCCGCTCCCCCGGACTCACACATTGGCTCCCACCATGCAGCCAAAGTACTCCTGCAGCGCCGCGCACAGCCTCCACACGGCTCCACAGTAGGTCTGCGGGTTGAGCAGGCGCACCGAGCACCCGTTTCGATAGTAGTCCCATACGACAGGCGCGTGCGCCCGACCGGCCGGGTTGTGCGTCTCCCGCTCTCCCTCAGAGTATGAGGTGACGTCTAGGTTACGGCCGAACTGGATGTTCTCCTGTGGAGAGACAGAAGGGGTTAGGTAGACGTGGTGTGGGAAGGTAGACGTGTGAGAAGGTAGAGGCGCGAAAGAGCGAAAGAGTGTGTTGGGGGATCTTTATTGTTAAGTGCTGAAAAAAATAGTAGATTTGGGGACACTGGTCTACAAAATGGAGGCGAGGTACTGCATGGCTAGTCATCAACGATTGCGCAGAGATGCACAAACATTACGTCATCGTCCGAGTACTCTGACGTCACACTTCTTAAAATGCAAACTGACTTGTTCTGGAACTGGTCAGGGTCCTGTTGTGAACTGTGCACGGAAGCGGAAGAGGAAGAGGTTCGGTGAGGGCAGCAGACAGCGGGGAGTCGGGTGTTTCAGTACGGAGAACGGCCTGTCACCACCACACCGCGGGTGTCTCTGTGACGGCGACCAGTGACATCGCTGGCGGCGGGAGGGCGGGGGTCAGTTGGAAAGCGGCACCGGTAGGAAGTGCGGTCCGTCACCAGACCGTGCCGGACCACAACCTCTACGCCCGTTCCTACGTCTGTTCCGTTGGTCCATTCTAAAGGTCCAATCTAAAGGTCTGTTCCGTATGTCTGTCCGGTACGTCCGTTCAGAGTACTCACGTTCCGCAGTATACTGTCTAGTTTGGCAGTGGAGAACAGCTGTCCATAGTAGTCTGCCTTTTCTCTCTGCACTAGCAGCGGCTTCTTCTCCCAGAACGAGTCGAAGAACGGTCCCGTCTGAGTGGGAGCGAGCACCCAGCGGAGTGCAGCGGCCGCGGCCGCGCCGCTGTCGTCGGCCGGCCCGCACGGCACCGGCTGGGCGCCGTTGGTGACGGCGCCATCCGCCGCTGCTGCTGGTGCCACTCCTGCTGCGAATGCTGCCCCTGCTCCTCCTCCTGTCGTAACAGCGACACATGCGTCAGCGGCCGGCCTCACGTCGCCGGGCGAATGATAACGGCAGGCTGCAGGCGTTCAGGATGTTTGGGTCGATGGGTAAGTGCTAGCTTGGTCACCGTCCGTTTTAGATTTCCGGTGGTCAAACAGACTTCGGTGCGCTGAGGCAGAGGGGCTTGATAAAGCCAGAGCAAGCTAGATCAGAAACTAGAAGGGTCGCACGATCCATGGATATAAAACTACATCAATTGGTAGTTGGCACTAAGTTGGCACTAACTTTCTTCAGAAGTGTTCGAAAGTCTGCTTATTCTACCGAAGGGTGATGATCCACATCGCACGAGCATTGCATTCCCCAAAGAATGGCGAGGTGACACTTAGCATCATTGAGACATAATGATTGTTATCCAGAATGGACTTTTCAGAATATTCAGCAAACATTCCGTTCTTGATCCCGATGTAGCTTCCTGTTAAAATGAACTCGAACAATATTCTTCAAATGTCTGTTTCGATTACAACAGATTACAAGCAGGCGGGTGAAGTCTTTCGAAGAATAGCAGAAATTTCAGAGAATGGGCGGCCGGCCGGCCGTGGTAACCATCCTGTGGGACTTATATCTCAGCAACCACTTGACCCATTCGCTTGCGATCTTTTTGTAGGGTAACTTCGTCCCTTTCATAATCAAGTTTATTAAACAAAAACTTTGTTTACCTTTTACCAGTCATTTCGCATTGGACTATTCCCGATGCATGTGGTTGACAAATCATGCACGTGTCACGGGCAAAATGAAGGCGTCAGTACTGTAACAATGGCAATATCTCGGTAAGAACTGGGCCGATTGCGTTGAAATTTGGCATATAGGTAAGCATCCACCGGGCAACGCACTTCCATGTGTCACGGTTCGGATGCTACTGTACGTGCGCACGTGCAGAGGTCGCTTCCAAATCTAGAGCAGATGGGCTGATTGCACTAAAATTTGGCACACGGTTAGGGATCGGCGAGTAGGATGTCATGTACATATAAGTTCCATACTCCTATGATTTCAAACATCATCATTTTGTGCGAGGACAAACATCATTTTTGAATTTGTATAGGAATGTATTATTTCCGGTTTGACGTGACGTGAAATGACATGACGAAACTCAACAATATAACTGACCATTGACCAAATCCTAAAATGAATCAAAAGATATACAACAAAGGTAGAATTCGAGTCTACCTGAGTAGGGCTCTCTTTTACTAATCACTTTAAAAAGAATCATATTCGAATATGTCCGAATGCTACGTACGAACGTACATACTCCCGAACATAATCATGGCGAAGCATTCCTTATAGAAATAGGAGGTGCGATACGCGTGTGAGGAACTTAACACTACTGGTGCAAATGTGCAAACAAAGCAAACGAGTCAATATCGGCGGGAAATAAAGTGACTGATATGGGCATTGGGCGGTCAGAGACACAGCCCCAATCAGAGCAGTCTGACATCGCACCGCTCCATTCACGTCATCGATGTTACCCAATACCCAGCTCAGGCAGTCTATGTTGCATGAATCAGATCAAATAATGGTAACATACACGCATACAACTATAACGGTATGTCTGGGCCACAAAAACTGAATTCCCAAAAACGGTCTGGCGCTCATAACTGCGTCACAATGGCACACACCGCACAACTTGTGCGTACATACTCTCCGTCCGTTTTATGTTCGACCATCACTGTATTTTTTAAAGCATTAGACTCGATCAGAGAATTATTTGTTAAATAGCCGGCAGACATTATATTGAGTAGATGAATGGTCAGAAAAACATGATGGATAAATATGCAAAAAAAAAATAATTCTGAACAAAAAGTTCACTGCTTTGTGCACCGGTAGTCAAAAAATTATCTAAGATGTGTTGTTTTCCAAACTATGCTTACAATGAGGGCCGAGCCTAGAACAGACGGACTTACACAGGGCTAGTACAGAGGGGCACTAACGACGCACATGGTAGAGCACAGCCAACAATCACGAGATAATTCGGACCACATCCCACACAGCGCCGAGAGAATTCATGCACCCGGCGGCAAACACACGTACAAAATTGTCTTAACGGTGCAAAGACGACGGGTATTTCAACTATCTATGTACGAGAAGGACGGAAAAGGGATGCGCCCTTTGAGTCGTGAACGAATATTACAATAGTCAGATTGTGTCATGTAACAGCAGTCAGTCAAGACACGGCTTCAGTGACCAAAGTCAAAGGATCACCTCACAGCCCCGACCGAGTCTGTAGACACATGAAAGTTCCCCCAACGAGCGCCCAAACCTGCACCATCACCCCAGCCGGGTCAGGCACTGAGCGGTGAACACAATCAGCTCTGTCCCGACCGCCTTCGCTCTACACCGGCCCCGCCCAGGCAGTATCCAATGCGCACGACCAGCCCGTGCCGACAGTGTCTCCAGTAAACTGTTTCCAAACTTCGCATAAGGCTCGACAATAGCTGAACTAACCAGACAACGCACCTCTTTGCATCACGGGTGCTGTTTGGCATGTCATTTCACCAATCTCACCTAGTCCGGTGTATACGTGAACACATTTTTTCGATAAATACAAAACCGTGAACACAGCGATGATACATTATCCCTTGGTGCAGTGCTGGCTGCTGATATAAAGTGTGCGGGCCGGCAAAAATGCGACGTTTCGGCAGCTACTACAAACGCCTTCCATCCGTCTCCAACGGGATGTGTCAGGCGATAGCCCACCCGGTGCCGCGGAGAAAAGTGTCGAGCCCCTCCGGGAGACGTCTGCAGTGACGTCACTTATCCGCCGGTGACGTCACGTGTCCTACAATGACGTCACTCGCGACTGTTCTGTCCCAGCGCGCCGGCCTCTGGGCCTAAAAACGTCAGCTGCACGCAGGCCAAGTCCGGGAGATCGGCGTCTCGGCATGCCCTGTCCAGACCCTTCTTGAACCACTTGATGGTGCCTTGGCCGCTCGCGTCACGCGGCAGGTCGGCCACGAACCACGTGTTGAACCACACGTGGCAGAGCCGCTCACGTGGCATGAACGAGCGAGAGCGGCCCCAGATAACCAGCAGTACGTCGCCGGTCACATGGACGCCGCGCTCTTGGGCGAATGTCAGCTGCGCCGGCTGGTTTTCCTCGCGGCCGGTCGACGCAGTGCAGGCCACAGTGTACTCCTCGCCGTCAGTTGTGCGTTCTACCAGCTCCGCCTCGAGGAACGACGGCCACTTGTCGACTTTGTAGAGCTGCACTGCGCGCATCCACAGCGGCGCCGCCCAGTACGTACGGCCCGCTCGCTCAGCCCGCAGCAGCCGATAAAAGTAGTCGACGTAGCGCTTCTGACTGGGGATGGTGATCCCCTTGCCGTCCGATGTGCGGCGCTGCGCAAACAGCTCCATCGCCTGCTCGGGAGAACTCGCCAGCCCGGCGTACAAAAGATAGGAGCAGACCATCACACCGGTGCGTCCCTTGCCGGCCTTACAGTGCACCACAATCACGTGCTCATCGTCGGCGGTCAGCCAGTCGTGCGCGTGCTCGCAGAAAGGACGGATGGCCGCCAGCGGGGGCGGGTGGTGGTCGCGCAGAGGCACGTGTTGCAGACGGCCCGCAAAGCGCGACTGGTCGTAGCGCCGCTCGCGGCACAGGTTGTACACGAAGAATCTGTCTCCGTGCCGATCCCACAGGAAGTCCACCACCTCGTCGGCATCGTTGCGGTAGAGAGCCTCGAAGTTGTTGGCCGGGAAGCCCATGGCGATGATTCGATCGGTGATGTACGATAGGTCCAGATTGAAACCGTCCTCCACCAGGCGCCGCTTCTTCTTTGAGACCAGCGTTTTCACGGGTGCCATGGCATTGCGCAGTAGGTCTCCCGGGAACATCAGAGTCCAAGGCATCGGGCGCGGTCCTCCACCAGTATCCTGTTTCGTAAAGTTTCCCGACGACGTCACCTTTTGTTGCAGCTTGCACCCCGCATTTGCGATACCGAAGCCACAGCTCATTTCAGTAGCGCTGCTTCAGTCACACCACTTTTCAGTGACGAGGTAAACCGTCCCGAGCTGAACGTCCCTTCAGCAGTTACTTTGCAGACCGATTTCCAGAGCTACTTGATATCCTCGAAGCACATCAGCTGATCACAATCCAACGGACACCACTCCACGCACTTTCCCACCGTATTGTTCATCCGTCCACCACTGCACGGCCGGCGCACAGCGAGCAGACGTACACTGGCGGCGTGCACAGGGCCGACTGGACGGACGATGGGGAGCGGCAGGCGCCGGGAGGCGAAGGCGGAGGTGGCGCGACCGAGGCGCGTCACGGAGCTGCGGTCACCGGCGGCGCCTCGAGGCTCCGCGATTGGTCGGCGGCCGCCGGTGGTCCCGGGCGGCACGTGGCGTCACCAATCCAGCAGCGGCCGGTCACGACCCGTGCGGCGTTAGCGCGCGCGGCCCTCTCCTGCCGAAGGGCCATCATTCAGAGTCGGTGGCGGAAGTGCGGGGCAGGGGACATCCCGGCGGCGCATCCTGTCTTGACAGACGGCTCTGGACGGTACACATCAGCGGCTGATAGCAGAAATCGGTCCAGGCGTCCGAACTTGACAGAACTTCAAAAAAAAAATGTACATAGGATATTCCATAAACACTTACACATTATTTGGATCAATGCACATAAAAAACCAAGCTATTACGCTGAGAATCAACAAATAAAATGAAATGAATATTTAACAGCATAGCAAACATCAGATCTCCTGACCTCATTAAAAAACAATCACATTGGAGGCTGCTTTCGAGTCATTGAACAGGTTGTTGGCGTCATCGAAAGGTCATTGTGCATTGGCAGATTTTTCTATTGTTGTTTTTTGGGGCTTTAGAGCGCGCCGACTGCAAAGGTCATATTACACCCATCCGGCAGACTTTTCTTAAATCGTTCGCCTATAGCCTTAAGGGGAACAGTGCTGATAAATACGGTGTCAGCCGAGCCTACGTAAACCAAATAGTTCGCACCAAGACAGACTAAGCTACAAACGGCGAAAACGTTTCTCGCTATGGCATAGGCACAAAATAAAACGATAGAAAAGAAGCTGCAGTCGTCAGGGTAAGATCAAACGAAGGAAAAAAATAAGATCAAAGACATTATTGACTGACAATGACGACTAAACATATTTCCAGTCAATAACAGGCAATAAAGTGGTACAAGTGATAGCGTCCGTTGTGCGTCGGTAGGCAAATGACCAACTAAGGTCATAGTGTGCGTGTCATTCTCAGAGCATACTATAAGCGCAGCCTTCCTTCATCCACGTGGTGAGGTGTAATAGGATACAAACTTGATCAGCTATTCTCGGTCAACTCGATCCCGACCAACTCAACGAGTTGTTGTCCTGCTCTAGCGAATTGCACAGAAAAACATTCGAGGTCAGGTCATCTTCTGACCCAACCTAGCGCCAGACTTCAAAGGAATGCCTTGAAAGCCGATATATGTAGAAATTCCCGTGGGGGACGAAGCCCGACATACCGGCCGTTTTTAAATAATCTGATTATTTAAATCTGATAAGTTTCTGATTTAAATAATCCGAATGGTAGTGGGTATGGGTTTGCTGAAGGTGCAAATATACGTGTAGTGGTGGCCTTACCCTATGTATAGGAAATTAACTGATTGTTCATTTCCCCATGAATTGGAAAAGTCAACGACCCACACAAGCCAAGGCCCATATCGGAGCTTCCAAACAAATATCCAGAGAAACCGATAGGGATTAGGTACACAACGCTGCTGACGCTATAGGGTTTGTGCGTAGGTTCAGTAGCAACCGGACTATTTCATATGGATATGCATTGAACGGTGGGTTCCCACCCCTATGCCAAGTTTCAGCGAAATTGACCCAGTGATTGCCGAGGTATAGTAACGGGAACAAACTCAACAGCTCAATTCGCACGCAGCACGCGCATTGCTAGCGGTTACCCACATGTACCGAGTTCGATGTTTGACAGGACATTAGACTATAATGTCCGATGGAACTTCTACAAAAACATAATACCTACCGCAAGTCAATCAGCTTAACGGTTGCTGAAATAAAGGCCTCCAAAAAGCGTCACTTCAGCAGACCAACTTTGACACCCGTGACTTTTCACGCGGCACGTGCCAGCCACGAGTGTCATCCAGATGCATTAAAGGGACCCTCCCACATTAACATTAGATTTGAGTTGAGATAGCCAAAATGGGGTCCCTGGCTCACAATTACCGGTTTCGGCACTCACAACATCGATAAATGCCTTAAATCGGAAACATTGAATTTCAAAATTGCAGCATTTTGATTCAGAGGGGCTAATGCATAGGAATACCCCTCTGAATGTGTGACGTCAGCGCAGATATCTAAAGATTTTTAAATGTTTGACTAAAACGTTTTGTAGCACGCGGTGGTATATGCTGCTTTGCGCGCAACAAGTGCCGCACTTTCAGCTGCCAAACTATTGCTTCCAAATAAAGTCGCTAGGAACAGCGGAGATCCCAAAAAGTAAACAAAAGTAAAAGTCTAATATCTTGAAAACCGGTGAATATTTTTCGGTAAAATTTGGTAGATATTCGTTTTCGCTCTTTCTGAACCGAGCGATATCACTTTCATGCCAATTCATAAACTTTTTTGAAGATGGGAGGGTCCCTTTAAAGGGACCCTCCCACCTTAACATTAGATTTGAGTTGAGATAGCCAAAATGGGGTCCCTGGCTCACAATTACCGGTTTCGGCACTCACAACATCGAGAAATGCCTTAAATCGGAAATATTGAATTTCAAAATTGCAGCATTTTGATTCAGAGGGGCTAATGCTGAGGAATACCCCTCTGAATGTGTGACGTCAGCGCAAATATCTAACGATTTTTAAATGTTTGACTAAAACGTTTTGTAGCACGCGGTGGTATATGCTATTTGCGCGCAACATCTGCCGCAAACGCCGCACTTCTAAAATAAAGTCGCTAGAAACAGCAGAGATCCCAAAAAAGTAAACAAAAGTAAAAGTCTAATATCTTGAAAACCGGTGAATATTTTTCGGTGAAATTTGGTAGGTACTCGTTTTCGCTCTTTCTGAACCGAGCGACATCACTTTCATGCCAATTCATAAACTTTTTTGAAGGTGGGAGGGTCCCTTTAACCCTATTATAATGTCAATAGGGGGGTAGAGGGGGGTAAAACGGGCAAATTGCAGATACATTTTAGACTGTTTATCACGGCCAGGTTTCTGAACCAATCTTAACGCAACTTTTGCCGATCGATAGAGAATGAACCAGGAATTCACATGGATCCTAAAAATATGCATTTTCAAAAATCATAGGCGGATACAGATCATTGAGATTGGGGGTACACAAAAAGTATAGTAAATAAGGTTTTTGTTGGTACTGTTTCTAAAAAGGGTGGCAATGGTCTTGTTATGTTACAATTTTCTTATGAGAGAACGACTAAAATTGTATTGGTCATGCATAGGCGGTGTCAGGGCACCTATGTTGGGAGGTAAAAAATAACCCCCCTTTTTGAACGCCTGGATCCGCCTATTATAGCAAAAACGTGTCAAAAGAGGATGCACAATAACTTTGTATATGTTATCACATGATACCTTTCATTTACTGTTCGTAAAACTGGTGCAGCATCGTGATCTTCGCCCAAATGACTCGCTTCACGAATAGGACCCCCAATTCCCAGTGCTCTGGAGCCGCCCCTGGTAAAGTTATGAACTTGAAATTTTCAGGGAATGTGCCCAATTTAGTTTTAGGAAAAGTCAGAAAATTTCAGCATCGTAGCTTCAGCGGTTTCGGAGATATTCCCGAAAAACCTGAGGGGTGGATAAAAACAACCCCCCCTGCCACTAATAGGGTTAACCCTCGCCGGCACAGGCCATTTTGCGTCCTTCGACGGCACAAGGGGGGGGGGGTACGACCGAGTAGTAAAGTAATCTTGGTACGACCCCTCCCCCTCGCGTTTGGCCCCTGATCGAGCTAGAGCTTCGCAGAAAAAACGAACATGTTGCCCGTGACGAGAGGGAGCGAGTGATACCCAATTTTAAGGTCCTAGGTCATCAGTTGACCTTCCAGGTCAGGTCAATGACCAAAAAGTCGGGAAAATCGGGACCTGTTAGAACGTCGTAAAGTGTGGCTGCTATGGGATTTTTCGGGGTGCTGATTACGAATATCATGTCAGTTTTGATCACAGGTGATGTCTTTATGCATTTAGGTCAGGTTGGGTTGGGTCAGCTCAGGTCAGGTCAACCAGTAGGGGTCCTGCCGGGTATTCTTAGTACGTGTCAACTGCCTCTGACAGCTTCGTAACATGTTACGAAGGCACCAAAACTACTTCGTTAATGTTCGAATGGCTGATAACTTCTAATTCAGCTCCAAAAACTAGCTTAGAAACATGTAAATTGTAAAACTCGAAAAAGTGGACCGAGGTCATCAAAGGTCAATGACCTGACCTGACTTCAGGTGACTTTGACATCCACCCTAATGCATAGGAGCAACATCAAATCACAAATTTGAACGCTTGAAACCACGAAACGACTGCAAACGCGCGGCTAATGCGAGCCGACATTCGCCGAATCGCGATTCCGTCCAAACATGGTCTCGGAAAAAAGGTTACAGGACAAAGGTCATTTAGGTCAGGGTCATGAAATTTTCAGGATATGTGTAAAATTGATCAACGCGAGGGTACTGAAAGTTTCCGGCGAGGGTTAACAGAAAGTGTCGGCGAGGGGTAACAGTAGTCAATTACAAGGTGGAAGGGATGGGACTATCCAAAGAAAAAGACTGCAGCTCAATCGGCACAGTGGTTGCGGCGACATAGCCTCTCTCAGCGGTACAGGCAGGGCCAGACCGCTCATAATGAAGATTTTTCCATTAATTTGAAAAGACTCGCATCCCACTTCACGCTCGCTTGTAACTATCCCTTTTGAAAGTTTTTATAGCTCAAATTACGCCAAGATATTCGTTCTGATATAGGACGTGTCTCAGCGCTTCTCTAAAGATAACGATAGATGGACCCTTACCGATCTTCTTGTTCTTTTTCTTTGCAGTTTTGTTTTTAGGCAGATCTTTGTTTAACAGCTTCGCCTTGTTTTTCTTCTTAGCTTTAAGTTTGTCAGTTGGCTTCTGAAAAAAATGAACGAGTTCACACACTTTTCACATCAACAAAATGACTACAATCTAACACATTATGCAATTTAATGTCGACAAAACAAGCAAAATTAGTTCTACTTTCACTTAAGACTTGTGAATGGTTGACTTCTTTTTTAAGCATATCAAATACAAATATGGAAATGATATTAGATCACACAGCAAAAGCACATGGGGTTTTCTTACCACAGATGATATCACTGGTTTCTTCCCCATTTCTCTAGTTCAACACACTATTTCTTGACTCATCTGAAATGCCAATAGGAACCATTCATCAAGATCATCATCGTATTTATGATGCCTGAATGTCAGCCACTGAAATACATAATTTTTGTTGACTATTCCTCATTTATGTTTTCAAACATCACTTTTCTCTTATTGACAATATGGGAGTGGGACTAACACTGCATATTACTGAATAGCACTGTCAATCAGAATTGTTGGAAGAGAATTCCCATGGATTCCCATAGCATTGGTCAGCAAAATATTATGCATTGGGGCACATCTTTAAGAAGCGGTTGACTTGCTTGGATATCCTCACATAGTGATTTCCTCCTTTTGCACCCTTTAAAAACTCAAGAAATTCACAAACCAAAAACATGAAAAGAAAGAGCACATCCTTTAAAAGTTGAAAAGTGAGACTCTCACGATGCATCGATCATCGATCTCACGAGCATCGATGTATCCCACGATCGATCTCACGATCATCGATCATCATCGATACTCACGATAAATGTCATACAGAACATTTAAAGGTTTTACATACGTTTCCTGTCCCTGACTAGTTCACTCTTGCATGAGGAAGTCAATAGGTAGAATGTGACCCAAGGCCACACTGGAAAACATCCATAGTTCATACACTACGCCGGACGCCTGTGAGACCGTGAGACCCTCTTGCGCTGAAATTTCTGCATGAGTTGCGCCGAAAACTGCGTGCCTATTTGTGCCAAAATTAAATTAATTTAATTAATTAAAATTAAGTCACTTTTATATAAAGCACATGTGCACATCTACCGATCAGGGCTATACCACCCAGCAGACAGAGCATTCCGGGGCCTTGGATGACCTACCATGTTTGTTTGAGCATCCAAATAAGTTTTTCGTTTCCACAGAAACCCAATACCTCAATGCGCTTAGCGCACTGTAGCGTCGTGCCGTGAAACAAGGCCGGAGTCGGAAGTTGCGGGGCCACAAAAATCGGCGGAGCGGTGTGCTCGAGGCTGGCGGGAGCCAGCGAGGGCCGGGCAGCGGATCAGCACTTGCTCCGGCACAACACTCTTCTTGGCACAAGGTGCAGAGCGCCGCGGGGCACAGCTTGTCTGGGCACTGCTGGCACGCCGCGGAGGGGAGACGGTCGATTCGGTGCACGTACTAGAGCGAGCGGCCCCAGTGGTCCGCCCCCATCTGGTGCACCGAAACGGCGTCCTATCGGCCCTCTCCGGGGATAGGGAGCGGCGGCGTGCTCCCGAAGAGTGGCTTGAGTAGGTAGTAACTCGGACCAGTTGTCGCGACATTGATGCGAGGCCGCACAATGAACCGCCCTGGTCAGCGAGCGGGCGTTTGAGGGCAGGGCCGCTTGTTTCGCCAGGTCGTCCGCGCTCTCATTCCCCTCGATACCGCAGTGGGCACGAACCCAAACAGGAACGACGCTTAGCGATGTTCAACAAGGTCTTCCATGCCTATCTCCACGTCGAGGCCTCACCTGGGCAGCCGCTCCCCGAGTAGGCTCAGAGCGGCTCGCCAGTTCCAGCACGCGACGACCAGGGCGCCGGGAGGGGATGTCTCGTCCCGAAAGCTCTCTAGAGCCGCCCCCAAGGCGAATCTGCTGCTAGATTGACCAGCATACCGACTAAATTCAATGACTTTCTTTCGCCAAAAGAAATCTGTAGCTGCCCTGCACAAAAATATTCAGCCGCTGCTATGCGCTGAATTCGGCTCAAGCAAAGTTACTCCAGAGACCGGACAAGCACTGAAATTTTTGGCGCAATCCCGCCACTATGCAGGACATAGGTATACAGCATAAGTCATGGCATGTATTTTTTGCCAGTCTGGGCCCATGCCCCATGGGGATGCCATTTGGTAGTCCTGTCATGGCACACCAATGGAAAATGGTTGAAGTAAAGTAAAAGGGATATTGTACCCTTAGAAACATGAATGAGCATGAGCCCATGATAAGCTACGTAAGCTGAGACTCAGACAGATAAAAGCTTAAAATGAGACTAGTCTGTAAGTAGGTGTATGCCAAGGAAAGTTGAGGAGCTTTCTGGTCTAGGGGTAGCTTCCTTGCCTCTCGATTTAATATTTAGCCATTCAGATTCAATTCCCACCTCCCCGGCCCCCGGGCAATAGATGCGGCACTGCCCTCGGCACTGCTGCTACCTGGCTGCTTCAACAGGGCGAGAGTTCCGGGTACCGTAAAATGGGGTGTTAAGGGACAGTTTTGAGGTGTTTTGTTATATAACTCAAGAAGGGTTGGAGATAGAAGCATCAAATTGTCAGCACTTTATGTGGAATTTGGTGCTTTACATGCCTACCACATTAAAGTTTTTAAGATTTATACCTGCATATTATTTTTATTATTTTCCATCACTGTCTCTTAGCACCCCAATGTGGGGTGTTAAGGGACACCTATATTATTCCAAGAAATGGTCATCAAATGCCCACAATTGGGGTGTGGAAGGGCACACAATTTATTTATTGAAATGTTTTGCATATTCTGTCACAACACAAGTCAGGTTCATTCGCCACTAATGACCTTTTTAGCCAATTACGTGTAATGCTGTTTACGCTTGTGGAAAATGTGCTAATTATAAGGTAAACAGAACCAAAAAGTAATCTTCTGTCATCAATAAAAACCCATGTTGAAGCTAGTCACTTGTCATTATGTTGCCCTCTTTGTTTTGGCCTTTTTATGATGACATCACATTTACCTACATCAGTCTCCATTGACCCATCATTGTAAAAGAGTGTTGAGATGTTTTGTTACATAACTTAAGATGTGTTAGAGATAAAAGCATGAACTTGCCAGCATTTTAGGTGGAACTTGGTGTTTTCCATGCCTACTGAAAGAAAACTTGATTAAATTATATTTAGATTTCATTTTTTATTTTTTCTTCCCTGTCCCTTAGCACCCCACATCCACCTCAAAATATGCATGTATCCAGAAAAGAGGAAGAGGATGATGAATGAATGGGTGGATTTGCACAAGTTTTTCAAGAAACATGTGCAATACATGTGACAATACACCTATGCATTCATTTTCCCTTTACACCCACTAGTTCATGAGGTACACACAGAGTTTTGGAGATGTTTCAATTTTGTGAAAATGCAGCATGATTTTCAAATCCATTTTTGAACCAAATCACTTGCATGAAAAGCCATAGCATTTTGTCCTATGGTCAAGAGCAAAACAGTGTCAACTACCACACTGAAGTTTTTATTGAACTTTCTCAAATTAGGAAGTTAATATGACTCAAAGTTTTTCCCATGCAACTGTCCCTTAACACCCCACTGTCCCTTAACACCCCATTTTACGGTAGCACTTTAACCCCTGGATATGATGCTTACTCCAAACCAACCAACTGAGAGATGTTTATGTGAGTACGAGTACGAGCAACACAGCATTCAGGCTTTAGCGGTAAATGTGAAGACGAAGTCCGCTTGGTCAGTCGGTGACACTCCAGGGAAATAAGCTAAAATTAGAGCGCTCTATTTATTGCTCCCGCTACTTCACCGTCTCCCATAGGGTCCTGTGTTGAGCTGGTGTCGAGGCTCTAAAAATGACGCCGATTTTTGCACCCTTCTCACGAAAACCGCTCGGACCGCCTGGAAACTAATTGTTCCGCTCTAAAAATTTCATGATCGACGGGAAAATGAATGAGGAAAAGATTGGTCCTGAAATAATTCTGAACTCCCTGTAGAACATATCGAAATATGGCTGCAAACTAGGAGCATGTCAAAATCGACAAAACAATACAATTAAACTTGCCGGGATTTTTTATTTTCCATGCATCTGTGTATGAAATCAGTCGGTTTTTCGGAAAGATCATCTTCTGTTTAATAAATGATTCCACAATTGCAATCGAGAAAAAAAAAAACATTTCTGATGTGACAGCAGTTTTGGCATTGTGCCAGTAGTGTGGCGCGCGCGGTGCTGCGTGGTCGTCGGGACGGAGTTGTGAGTATTTTCGGTGTTTTAAATGGTTGATGGCCATTTGAACCAGCTTTATATTATTTCCTACAAATTTTTGCATCAAATTATTGCTTTAAAAGACCATTGAAACCCCTTATTTCTTCATGAAGCACGATCATATTCATCGTCGACGAAAATGGCGCGGGACTCAATGTGCGTTCCGATCGAAATAAATCGTAAATTAAATGATATTCGATGATAAGTATCATATTCTAGTGACACATTTTCGTAAAATAAGGCATAAACTTTGCAAGGAAGTCAACATTGGATAATTGGAATCTTATTTTGCTCACATATCCTTGTAGTAGTCAAATGACTCAATTGTTAGATAAATGTAAGCATATGTTTTGGCTTGATGTTTGCTGTGAAACCACCCAGCCACTTGCTGGTTGAGTGGTTTTCTGATAATTACCTGATAATCATTTCTCCTTTTCCTTAAAAGAACCTAAAATTCTTTTCAAAGTAATCCATTTTTAGGAAAGGTGGCTTGCTCATTGACATTTCATGTTCTTGTTTTGTTATTGCTGGCAGTATTTTGATACAATAATGCAATATGATTTTTTGCAATAATAAAACCTAAGACAAACTTAGTTAATGCGTCAATCAAACACCCAACAGAAAGATTGTGAGTCCTTGTGACGTGAAGTAGAATATTCTATGAATGTGTTAGGTATATAGAATATGCCAAATTTTAAATTAATTTTTATTTGATGCTTATAGCTGAGCATGTGAATTATGCCACAATATAATTTCATTTTCTGGTTTTGAAATAGCCGGCAGTATTTTACTTGAACAAATGTAATATACATGGAATACATGTTGTTATGTTATGTTAAAAGTTTAATAACAGCCAACAGAAGGGGCTGTTTCAGCAGATAATGTTTGTACCTTATGCATTACCTTTCTTTTCTGCAGGACCATGCTTCCGCTGGGTGGTCGACAATTGCCTCATGAAGAAGTTGAGCAACATGAAGACCACCAGATGAGGTGTCTGCAGTTCATGTGGAACTCTGCAGACTACAAGTGTTATGTCAACCACAACCAAAGTGCTGTGATCATGGAGGCATGAACCTCATGACAACACTTCAGATTTGCAGTTGTACCAAAGTGTGATTCAAACCACCTGTGGCATCTCACTCAATGTGTGAACAGTGTGATCATTGTGCAGTGTTCAGCTGCAACTAAGACATTTATTAGTGACTTGTTTTGCAATTAGTCACCAAAAGCATTTTTTGGGCTGGCTGCTGTAATTTGTTGTGCATTGCGCAATAGTGGTAGTGTTTTGTCACTTGTCAAGTTGTCAGTTGTGCATGCACATTGCATGTTTATCTTCCCTCGGCCCTCATTATCAGTTAAGTGGTGAATTGGCATCACTCAGTCTCCCCAGATCTCCATTGACTGTCTGTCAACCACCTAACTTGAGATGGTATTTGCTAATAGTGTCAGAAAAGAAGTGATTGTAGACATTTTTAGGAATATGAGCTCCGTTTCATGCGTGTTCCAGTGGTCATTTTGTCACATGTCCCATAGTGTAATAAATGGAAACTGTTGTTCCCTTTTGAAGGTACTCGCGGATGCAGAAAGCGTTGGGCCTAATTATTAAACGCACCCTCCTATCAGCGACGCACGAAATCGACAAATATCATCCTTTTTAGAACAGGAGGAAACGAAAACTTGTGAACATAGCATTAGCTGTACCTACAACAGTGCATAAGGAATTGAAATTCTGGGAGTTTTTGAAATTCGGAGAAACTCAAGTTGTCGACAGGTATGCCCCCTTGTACGTCAAAGACCGCCTAAAAAACGTCTACAAATGAATGCAGTATTCGTATGTTCGTCGTAATTGCAGCAGCCTAGCAACATGCATTGCGGTCCGATGGCGAATTACACTCGTGCTCAGAAACTATGCCGGTAACTGCCAATGCACTTAGGTCATAGGTGAGGAGAGGAAGGGTTATGTCAAATGTCAACATCATAGAAATGGCTTCATCTGAGCTGTGCCTATTGTACGTAATTCAACCAATCTATGCATTTCGTTTCTTGCAATCTACTCAAGCTTTCACTCCAGCTTCAGAGTAATCATCCCATATTGTACGTCTTAAGATATTGATTTCTATGGCAGTTTGCAATTGCTAGCCACGTCTCACCTCAGTTTGGTGGCCCCGCATCGGCCCACTCGGCCGCTCTAAAATTGACTTTCGGAGGAGGATGGTGGCTTTTATTTTAGCTTCCCCGCTGACTGCGGGGAGCGCCGTCGCCGAGGTAGGAGCAATACTTAGCTTATGTTTGGGACTAATTTCCACGCTTAATTAACATTTTAATGTTATTTTAATTAATTCATGTTAATCTTTGACGCATTCTCTTTCTATTGATACCATCCACCGCTCTGAGAATTACTGCCTTGCTGCGTAAGGGCCGATAAAAGATCACGCTTTTAGGGGTATCTCTTCAACATGGGGCAGGAGCAATAAATAGAGCGCTCTAATTTTAGCTTATTTCCCTGGTATGTCACCAACTGTGGTATTGGCCTCGGTATCGGTGTTCCATTCGGACTAGCCTGTCAGCATGGGTTCGAAGTCGAGCCCATACATACAGAGGTATGTTTTAAAAATAGTCATCAGAATGCATCAAACGCAATTAAACAAAAAAAAACTCACCGATTCAATCCGTAAACCCAAAGATACCAATCAACAACAACAACAACGCGGCGCCCCGGCGCGCACACGCGTGCCCTACGTTTGTAATTCAAGCTCAATGTTATTTGACTACAAGTCAAATTCTAAAAATTTTGATGACGACAAACGTAAGCTTAAAAAATACTTTATATTCCCCTAGTTTTCAATTTTTGGATCGATTAGTGTCGAATAATGTTGTTTTTTTTTACAATTTAATGACATGAAATTGGAAAATTGAGCATTTTGATTTAATAGAAGTGTCCATATATCATTTGACTGACTTTACAAAGAGTCAGCCAACCGTACGTCACAGAACCATTTTTCCATGTGAAAAATAATGCGCCAGCAATTGGAACAGGTGCTGTGCAGCGAATGTTGGGTACACAAATCAACTTTTTGGTCCACCAATGAAAATTGTGTATTATGCAAGAGTGAGCAGAATCAGCAGCGAAGTCCGTTTTCATCAGTCTTTAGCATACCACGCCTGAACATATTTAACAATAATAAATCGGCTGCAATAGCATAAAAAACCTTACTTCAGTTGGGCAAACTACGGGGAGGTAATCACGAACTTGATTAATCAAGTTCATGATTATGACGTCATGAAAATGGGGCGTGGCATGACCATATAAGGAGTTGTAATCAAGATTTTGATTACTTTTCGTGCACCGAACTATTCAAGTGTTTCGTTTCGATTGTTATAATGTCCATATCGACACGATTTTTTACCAGGTGAAACGCAATATTCTATTCTCCCGAAATGATATGGACCGGTAGCAGTGGGATATGTACTTTAGCTCATATGGCGAAAGATAAACTGCTAGCCTAACTTTTTCAGAAAAGTGATATTTTTTAAAGCCCTTTTTAGGCGGATATTATTCTTTTATCCACATTTTTACGTTTCTAATTTAAAAATAAATCATTGAACATTCATTTTACACACGTCTTAAATTGGTCGTAATAAAGATTTCTTCGAAAAGGCACCGTCGCCTATTAGCACGCCGCCATTTGTCGTGTTGTCGGTGTGTGGGTGAGGCCGGAAATTGGCGCCGAATTATTGGTAATTTGGTTCTTATAGGTAAAATTAGCATTTTTTAAATAATTTAGATCATGTTTGTAAATTTGAATAGCCTCAACCTTCATGTGCGTCGGTATAAATGTTGAAATATCGCGATAGAATTTATGATGACTTTGTAGGCTATCATGGCGCATGCTTTCCGCGGTATAATATTTTAATTATTTACGAAATGTATTGCTATTTACAGGGTTATAGTTTATTTTAAAGTAAATAATAGGCCTATTTTGTTGTTTGGGGCAATTGTTGATTAGAGAGGCACATTTAACTGCCCACAGTAGCTAGAAATGTTATGGCCTGGCAGGTTGTGCGAAAGTTTGCAGTGTGGCCATATCATTTATTCAGTCAATTGTCTGTGCAAGCAGGGACCAATAGGATATATCTTCTAGTTTTTAATGAAAAGTTAAATTTGGGCTTATGCTAGGTTATTCATACTTGCATTCTAAGTGGCTTTGTCATGGATTCATAGAATAATAATAGAAGTGGTGACTGCAAATGTGTCTGTTTTTCCACAGCTCATCAAAGCACCACCTCCTCGCTGTAGCAGTAAGCGTCGCCGTCACCACAGTATTGTTCAGGAAGCTCGTGATAATGGTACCTATGGTCTCACGTTGAGGAACGCTCAATCAAAAAATGATACGATGAATTTCTTTGGAATTAAGCGGACTAAGTACAGCTACATTTGTATTATGTGCATCGCTCATGCAAGACAGCAGGCCAGGATGCAGGGACACACAGCTGCAGGTATGTATGAATTGTTTTTGCAATAGATGGTTGTAGTGTTTTGTTTTGTCGCTGGTGTGTCACGTTCAGTTTTGTGCATCACGTTCAGACACTACAGTGGTCCAGTCCAGTGTACATTTTGCACACTCAAGCTGGGCATGCTGAAAATAATTCGCTGGAGCTCCTTTAGTGTAATCTCATGAAGTTGCCTGGCACAACTTGAGAACTTTGCGAGCTCACATGACTCATCCCCAGTTTTGTCCTGACACAGCCCAATCTAATCCTTTTTCAAGATACAGGCATTGTCTAATGTTTTCAAAACAATTTATTCTAATCTAAATGCAGAAACTTCTTCACTAATGCATGTGTAATTTGTACCTACATTTTCCAAACTGCTGAGTCTGAGGCATTGTACATTATTTTCACATCATGTGCCAAAATGTAGTACCTATCAGTGCCCTGCGCCAACTCATCAGGTCCATGTCTTGTCTTGTTTGCCTTGTTACATCCGCCTACCTCTCCTCCATCATTTCTTCCTTCCATCTTTCCTTGCTTCCTTCCTCACTCCCTCCCCTCTCCTCTCCTCGTGTCTCCTCTCCTCTCTCCCCTCCCCTCCCCTCCCTCCCTCCCTCCCTCTCTCCCTCTCTCTCTCTCTCTCTCTCTCTCTCTCTCTCTCTCTCTCTCTCTCTCTCCCCTTTACTCTTTCCCTCCTTCTCTCCTATTCTTTCTCCTCCATTTTCTCCCACGCAATGTTAAGTGTACCTATAATTTGGTTATGAACATTTTGCAGGGGATGAGCTGGAGAACCTGCATCGCATTCTCCAAGAAACGACGGAAGCCAACGGAGGCCCGCAAAACTTTCCATCCCATAATCGTGAATGGAGAGCTGGGCGGGGAAGACGCGGTATTCGTCGAGGCCCAGGAGGTGGTATCGGCGCCACCAGACCAAGCATTCCTGCTGTGGCAGGCCACCTTTTGGATTTTTAACATCAAAACTCCTAAAGACATGGTCAATCTGAATTGGTTTCTGAGAACCAAAGTGTTTGGTGGGGTGAAGGCCGATGTGCCGCCATCAGCGGCGGCCATTGCGACCGTGAAGCAAGTGGAGTGAGATCCCCGTAGAGCATGCCGCTGCGGGGTGTCGGAAGCGTTTGCCAATTCTTTGAGCCTTCCACTGGCAGGACTATAAATACACATTTCTTGAAATATATCTTTGATCTGTGCTTGGTTACACGGGCTCTGGGTTGTGACGCTATTCGTCCAATATATGTGGTCGACGGTCGTATGCAGATTATCATTTGAGCTGACTTATGGTCAGGCCGCTTATCGCGGACAGCGGTGTTCTTGCTCGGGGTGGTCTTTTTTCAGCTCCGTGTTCGGCAATGTGAGCGAGCAAGCGCGAGAAGAGGTGTGCTCGTGCACAAGTTCACATGTGTGTGCCACATCCCTAACTCGTCTAAAGCTTACAGCTATTGAGTCTCTAGCCACCCACCAAAATTGAAAAACAATCGGTGACGCCGTTCCGGAGATACAGAAATAAGGTGCGCGTGTGCAAATATATCCTATCCCCGATTCGTCCAAAGCTTATAGCTAATCCGCTTCCAGCCACACACAAAATTTGAACAGGCTCGGTCAAGTCATTCATGAGAAACATTAACTGCAACATAAATTCCATCCCACCAAAACTGATTGATTTTGTCTATTATATACACCATTACCATTGTATCTTTTAATTAGCTGCATTGTTCAACGGTCGCCAGTAGCACGATCAGCGCGATCAAAATCGTGATTAGCCAGAGGGCTGTTCACGGACCCTGTGTGCGGTCGGACCGCACACAGCCTCCAAGCTCCGCCCACTGCGTCCCTACGTCAGCCTTGCGTCACCGCACACAGCGACCGCTGTGGCCGGTCGGGACTGGCCACAGCGGACCGTCCACCGCACGCAGCCGTGACGTCAGAGCCGCCTACCCATCCCCTACCCCCACGCCTGCTGGACGTACCGCACACACCGCACGCAGCAGTGTGCGGTGCCCGTGAACACCCCTCAGCTGAATGCGAAATCAAGATCATGATTAGCCAGCTGGCTGCGTAATCAAGAAGTTGATCATCGGACTCCCGGGACGACGCCTCGTAATCAAGTTGTTGATTACGTTTTGGTTGCAATCTACCGCCTCACGATTTTCAACTTGAATCATTCAAAGATTACACTTGTAGAGTGACTTCTTCTCTATCGGTCTTAAAATTTTCGTGCATCTCCGTAGACCCTGAATCGAGATTCGGCCGTTTTCGTGACGGGCTGCAAACATGACCAAATATGGGCATAAAATAATCATGAACTTGATTAATCAAGTTCTTGATTACCTCCCCGTAGTTTGCCCAACTGACTTACTTACTTACTTACTTAGAAGTACAGAATTTTGATAGGCCACTTCAAGGCCATATATATAGGCCATATATAGGCCATATATATTCAGGGTTCAGGGCCACTTGGCCTTTATGTCCGTTCCAGTCGAGCTGCTTAGTGTGGGTTTTACTGGTCTGTGTAAGGTATCGCGTGTACGAAGTCTGCCCAGTGGGTGTCGGTAAATATTTACTTTAGGTCCGCAATATTGTTTTAACAAGAAAAAAATGCACATTCTTACACTATTTGATGTCCTGAATTCAGATATGATGCTTAAATGCATCAAAAATGTAAAATAAGATACTAAAACCCCAGCACATTACACCGCACTGCTGCACAATATACACTGAAGAAAGCACGCTTCCGCGACAAAAACGAAACATACAACGCTGCCCTATAAAAGAAAAAATGATGCGGATATTCATTAGTTTTCGACGTTATGAAAATGACGTCATAATACCAAAGCACAAGAAAAACGGTGAATAAAAAAGAGAAAATATTTAGCAAAGGTAATAGAGCATGAGAAAATGATCAGAACATAACCAAACCTTACCTAACCTGACCTACTGATGTTTGCCTACTGGGGGAAAAGGAAAAAGTGACTTGCATGAATAGATTGCAAGCAATGGTAAGTCAAATATTTTTAGGTTAAGTGGTTATGCATCAGGCTTCAGGCCTTCGGCCTGAAGCCAGATACACAACCACTTAACCTAAAAATATTTGACTTACCATTGCCTGTAATCTCTCCTAAGGCAGTGTCTAGGCGGGTCTTGAACTGGTTGAGCGTACCGGCGTCGACAACTTCTGGCGGCAGACTATTCCAATCGTTTATAACCCTTACTGAGGAGGCGTTTCGGCGGACTCTGGAGACCGCGCGCG